CCCGGAGAGTGCTTGTAGTGCTATGGGGCGGTATATAAGTCCAATAAATAAATAAATAAATAAATTGGCCCCATTTGGACCCATTTACAAGGGGCCCTGAATGAAAAGAAATGGACGGACTTGATTCCAGGGCAAAGGAAAGGATCTAGAGCACTTCTTCTTAATTTTGGATTCGAAAAGTGGGAGGCGTCTTATACATGGAAAAATGCTGTCTATATAAATCCTAATTTATATATAAATTTTAGGATTTATATATACAGTATTTTTCCATGTATACTGTAAGACGCCTCCCACTTTTCTAATCCAAACTTAGGAAATCTAAGTGGAGCTTAGGAAGTGTAGCAGGAAAGGGATCAAAGTGCTTCAGGATCGCTTTGATCCCTGTTTTCCCCTCCACTTGTTTTTGTTATCTCCTCAGCTTACTCCTGTGTATAAGACGACCCTCAATTTTTAGTCTAAAGATTTTAGACAAAATATAGTCTTATACACAGAAAATACGGTATTTAAAAGGAGGGATAAAAAGCCAGGCCATGTGTGTTCAGCAATGTGATGTGACTGGGCAGGAAGCTGTCTCTGCCTATTGAGAGATCTAACATGAAATTTAAAGCACAAACTTTACCACTACTCTTCAGTCACTACTGTGCTTGCAGGCAAGATTGTTTGAGTTCACTCAACTTATGCATCGAACTGTCTCCCAGAGGTCTTCATCATTCTTTTGCCAGATTTAGCAGTGTGAGTAGGAGCCAGAGTGAAACATAATGTAGTTATGTTACTGCAGTCACCTTTTATTAAGGTGTCTGTCAGTAGTTTTTTCTACTTCTCCTCTACTTCTCCCTTTGACTTTCTAATTCATTTCAGTAGTAAATCCGTTTATTTTATGTGAGTCTTTGTATGTGAAACGTAGTTTAATTGTGTGTGACTGAAGCTTATTCATCTGAATTCTGCCAGGAAGTGCATTTAGTTTATTTATACAACACGCATGATCATATTGCACATGCAATTCATATTGCACAACAAGCATTATTATTTTAAATGTTTATTGTCTCTTTTATTTGCATTTGTGTGAACAATGAGCTACGCTTAATTTACAATCTTTTATCATTCTTCTTTATTTCAACTTATAAATATCTTATCAATCCATTAAAATATGGCATCCCCTGTTGACTTAGGAAGACCACGTGAACTCTGTGGGACAAATACTTGAGCAGAGGTGCAACTACACTGGATTGAATTTATAGCCTGTATTACATTTGAAATTGCAGTAAGGGCTCACAAAAAGGCTGCGGATTGATTCAGAAATTCACTCATTGATACTGGATGTGATGTGATCTGCATTTCAGCTCATAGCTTGCTTGGCTGGCTGGCTGGCTGGCTGGCTTGCTTCCTTCCTTCCTCTGGTCCCACCTCTGCCAATTTGACAGAGGCATATATACAAGAAATAATGATAACAATCACCCAGTGATAAGGTGATAGAAGGATCGAGTGCAAATCTCATATACAGTATGTAAGAAATGTTTATTTTTATTTTTTTAAGTCAGAGGACAATAGGGGGAGCAGGAAGAATAAGGGATTCCCTTGGTCCTGAACATCACACCTACGTCACTGAAACATCACCTCCTGTCTCTACATGAATATATCACAACTAACTACATGGGAAAAAGCCTGTTCAAATCATTCTGGCCTGAAAAAGTAGAAGTGTCCAGTGACAAAGGGGGGAAAAACGCTGCTTTGCAAGCAAAAAGGGCCAGACCAATTTGAATCAGCTTTTGTGTCATGCAGTCAGTAAAAATAATTTGAATTTGCCCATTTTTTAAGCAGAGCAAATCCCACGCTGTTTCACCATGCAGTCCAGGCTAAGTTATCCACTAAACTCAGTCATGCTTATAATTGCTCTAAAACAACAGAATATAGACATGGCTAGTATCTTAAAATCACATAGAAAATTAGCCAGAGTAAAAAAAAATCCAATCCCATTGCCTTTATGACTACTTAAGTTGCCATGATGACCTATATCGTTGTGTTAGAATAGATTGCTGTATCATATCTCATCATTAAGACATACATCTAAATCATTGGGTCTTCTATGCCTGTTCAAAGACTGGAACCCGTGTGTATTGCTAATTGACACTGCTGACAAGGAATACAGAATATCTCTACCTGTAAACACATGCAGATAGTCAGAAGGTCTGGCGCTCCGGCTTGCAGCTTCAAAAGGAAATCTCTTTGAATGAAAGTGAGTAGGATGTTCTCCATCAGAAACGTAACTTAAAAATTAACTTATAGCACCATCAGAAAACAAAACGTTGAAATATGACTATGCTTTTATAAAATCGGTTCACAATGGTGCGTTAATCTTCTACTTGGTCAAGTGAAAACGTTCCTGTTAGGTTAGTTAATGATAAAAATGCAGGGTTAAACCTTTCGCCTCTGTTTCGGAACTCATCGTAAGTTGTGTTGGGATGTCCATTGGACTTTTTTTTGCCTTCTGTGTATCTCTGTGGGTGGGTCACGTTTGGCCCAATGGTCTTGCAAGACGAGAGGAAGAAATGCTGTTTCATGGCATCAGGAGTTTATCCCTCTTTGACATCTGTCCGATTTGCTTCACAGAGCACAAGGCATGATCCCGAAACAGGTCATAGAAGTGCAGAGGACCTTCTGTCCTGTGGCCTTTGGAGTCCATTTTTGACCCTTTTTGCTGGTTACAGACCACCACCCCCCGGTAACTCTTTGGCTAAGAGCACTAGAAGGCAGCCTGAATGTACTACGGACAGCAGGGACTTTTTGCTTTGCATTTTGCTTTGGTCTTGCGGACCGCAGAATTAAGTATCATGGACCAGAAGCAGTTTTGTTCGTGGAATAAAGAAAATGCCTAGAAACAAAAATCCAGCATGATTTGTAATAATTTAAAAAAGGAAAATAAAGAGAATCATTTGAGTCCGATCTTCGGCATAGAATGGCTTGGAGTGATTCAGCCCACATTATTTATAATTATTATTTATTACTTTAATTTCTTTGTGCATTCTGATATGAAGATTTTGTAAGTAAAAGAAATACATTTTTTTTTCTTTTTCCAAACCAAGAGTCTCTGGCTATTTATATTGAGACTGTATGGCAGCTGAAGTAAATTGAGGCAAATCTGACTAAAAACGTAACTGTACCATAAGGGATGGTGTATCTGAGGGAGACTTGTAAATTAATATACTACAAATCTGCTCTGTGGGTCTCTGGATTTTTCTCCACTGTGTAGCTGGAAATTTGTTTGTCATTTTAAACTAGCAATTTTAACACACATTCTGCCCAGTAATAATAGGTTTATACTTTGGTGATGATTAATTGATTTATACGAGCTGGTATAGCTCTGTAGTGTTGGAGCACGTGGCTACAGAGCCAGAGTATAGGTGTTTGAATCCTCACTCTGCCAGTTAAGAGAGGGCCAAGCCAAGATCAGCCAGAGTGTGTGTGGCTGATGGGTTTTACATGGTGTGCCACCTGAGTGGCCTTAGGCAAGCTGCAGTGTCCCAGAGCATCACGAGGAGAGGGTGCGCCGGTAAAGCACTTCTAAGCACCTAGAGAACCATGGCAGGATCATTCTAAAATGGAATTGACTTGATGTCACACAACTAATTATTATTAATACTTCAATCCCTATTTATACACTGCGGATCCTTATGTAACTAAAACAACCCCAACCCTTTCAGAAAAATGTCTGGAAGCTCCCCAGGTTTTCCAGAAGCCAGCAGAAACGCACAAACAAAATCCCGCCCACACATACAGAAGCAAACTATTTTGGGGAATTTTCCTGTTCTGGTCTGGAAACCAGAACAGGAGAGCATCACTCCCCCCCACCCCGTATTTTGCAATAACATTGTGCTCCTTCTGTTGGTTAAACAATAAAGGTTGAACTGAATTGGCATAAAATGTACTGAGGGTGAGATGTCAACCCAGTGCTGGACCAAAAGGGCCATGGGCCTGGCCTCACTCGACCTCCTCTCTGCCGAAACACCCAGTCTTGCTTGGTTATTGATTATAAACTAGTTATATTTGTTGAAACCAGGAGCTAGTCTCCTGGAATAGCGAGTCAAAGCTTTAACGCCAATAACTGTGACACGAGAGAAAGACAGTTCAAATGGTTGCTGTTTTGTTTAGCTAAATAAAAGACGTGACAGAAGTCATGCCTCCAAGTGTAGGCAAGAACAACTGTGTCATGCAGAGAAAGACCAGGACTTTTATAACATTTGGTTACCCAAGGGAATGGGAGGAGAAATGGGTGATTCATGGTACAAGGAAATGGGAGGAGAAATCGAGAAATGGGTGGTTCGTGACCTATTGGCAGAAGGGTTGGGGTTACAAAGGAATCCGAAACTTTATCGGAGTGGGAGTCACAGAACGGATAGAATTTTACAAAGGATGGGTCAACAGGGTGGGTCTATAGACTGCAGTTATGGAAAAACATGGTTATGTTGTTGTATTGTTCTGACAGGAAAGCCATTTATTATCTCACAGAGAGGTTACAAGGTTGGGTGAAAAGGAGCTTTCCAAGGTACAGTGAGACTGTCCAGGTGCCGGAGTTCAATTTGCATAAGATTGGTCCTGGTATTTCCCTGGGGGAAGAGTGACAAAACCCAGCTGTGTCTGTTGGTGGCAGTTTAATGCATTCCAATGGGGGAGAAAAGAATTCACCAAAAATTAACGAAGACTCAGAACAAAGCCAGATTAAGTTTGCAAAGGTTTTACAAGGTGCACTAACGATCGCAAGCATTTAAAACAGTTTTTGAACATTTTAAGACACTTTAAAAATAGTGAAAATGGAACATCTGTGTCTGTTGGTGGAATGAGCGACCCCTGCTGTGTCTGTTTGCTTCTCCAATCTAGATCGGAAAGCGAGATAACTCGCCCTGCGGGAAGGAAAGCTGGCCAGCCTTATTCCTTCATAGAGACTCTGTGAGGGAATGAAATACATCTACATATATATGTGTTTCATCTTTCCAAACTGTATTCTGTATGATCTGATCAAAGGTGTGTTCTTCATGTGTGTGCTTTTGTGGACATGGTCCCTTCATATTGGTTATAAACTTAGTTATTGGTTATAAACTTGGTTATTGATTATAAACTTGGTTATTGGTTATAAACCTGGTTATAAACTGGCAGAAAGACAAACTGGCAGGAGAATGCCTCCAAGTCAACCAGCCCTCCTTCAGATGAAGTTGCCACCTTGTCATTATATCATTTTCAGAGCTTGCAAACATGATTTATCTGGGGCTGCAATTCCCAGAATCCATGCTGTGTGCAGGATTCTGGAAGCCACAGTCCAAAAAAGCAATATTTCCAAGCTCTGATCAGGCACTCAGGACAAGATTGTATTATTTTTGTTCTTATTGTTAAGGTTACTGGAATATCCTTATGTCTAACATTCAGGACAGGTGGTTGTTTCATTTGTTCTTTCTCTCCTTATCGCACACTCAGTAACTGGGACTCTTCAGCCTCTGTGAAACCTTAGCTGACTTTACTGATCTTCTCTACTTTATTGCCAAAGGATAATGAATAATTTTATTTGACTGCGGTGGATTCAGTTGGGCTACAAGCCTAGTTAATAAGCAGACCATTGGCTGAAATCCGGCTCATGCCTTACTCTTTGCATCTGTGGAACTCCTGAACTGAAATCCTGCTCATGCAGCTGACCTTACTCTTTGCATCTGTGGAACTCCTGAAGGAGATGACTCACCAAATCTCCACTGACTCAATCAGCCTACTCTATTGTAACTTACTACATTGAGCAACAGGATTTCAGCCACTGAATCTCAGCAGGTATTTGTCACATCATGGCTGAAATCTGCAACACCAGTTTTTCATAAATTAAAATTTGCTAATACCTCCCACCCCCTTGAAGGTCCCAAAGCGCCACTGGAGTTCCCTTTTTGGGCCCTCAATCATGGGGCATAGAAAAATATTAATTTACGAAGAAAGGATGCGGCTGATCATATCACCAGCCTTATAAGGTGTAATGTTGAGCAATAGGATTTCAGCCACAATGTCACAATTATAGGCTGACATTCAATGTTCTGTAATGCATCATTTCATTATTTTATGAAACCTGTCTACAGAATACCATGGACTCTGATGACCAAAGAGGCAGAAGTGGATTAGGGCAGGACAGTGATCAGCAATCAATGCCCAAGAATTGTAGTGGGGTAGACAATTGTCACTGAACAGGTTGGGGCAAATTGCCCAGTTCTTCCGAGGTACTCTTGTAGCTATGAAGCATTAGCAAGAGGTATGGCTTGTGCAGGATGATAAAATATAATCATGCAACAGACCCTTCTTATTCTCAGGCAATTGTCCTGCAATGTCTCTGAAGAAGTGCACTGAGTGAGCTACTTCTGATTTGCTGCTTTGCTTTCAATGCAATGCAATAGGACATAGTGGCGCTGCGGGTTAAACCGCATATTTGCTGCTTTGCTTTCAATGCAACGCAATAGGACGTGGTGGCGCTGCGGGTTAAACCGCAGAAGCCTCTGCGCTGCAAGGTTGGAAGACCAGCAGTCGTAAGATCAAATCCACATGATGGAGTGAACTCCCGTCGCTTGTCCCAGCTCCTGCCAACCTAGCAGTTCGAAAGCATGTAAAATGCTAGAAGATAAATAGGTACCACCTCGGTGGGAAGGTAATGGTGTTCCATGTCTAATCGTGCTGGCCACGTGACCACGGAAGATTGTCTTCGGACAAACACTGGCTGTATGGCTTGGAGACGGAGATGAGCCCCCCCCCCCCAGAGTCGGACACAACTGGACAAATTGTCAAGGGGAACCTTTAACTTTTTCAATGCAATCTTGTTCCACTCTGGAGATCCCAATGTCACTGACATGTATTGTCAAAGGAAAACTACTTATAAAAATGGCATTGCTCCAAATGTTGCCTTTCTCAGCCACGGTGTGACTTTCTGAACAAGCCAAAGTGCATGAAGCCACCTGCTGTGTGCTGCCATTGCACTAGTCGATACAGCAGAACGATCACAAGTTTGACTTCTAGTTTTGTTTTGTAGCCCCTCCTGTCTTTGGGCTCAGTGTAGACAGGAAGGCCTCAGCTATTCTTGGGTAAAAAAACTGGTTTTGATTTAGGTTTAGCATCTTTGACATTGATTTTAGAAGTCCCAACTACACAACACACAGGGAAGCACAGATTGTTTTGCCTAGGAAGTATGGATTTTGGTAGGGAAGTAAGGTATTTTCATTGGCCACGAGAGGTTTGTTTATGCTAAATCACTTATGAAATCAATTTATTTTGAATTGTTTTGGTATATATGAATGCCTCTATCAGTGTAAATTGTGTCTGTGGAGTTTGTCAAGTAAGGATGCCATTCACTGGTGCACCCTGCCTAGATCCTTGGGGGCTGCCTTTCTGCTATACGAATGTATCTCTGCCTCCTTTATTCACTTTCTTGAACCACACTGCTTTTAACTGTAAAGCTGAACTCCAAAAGAGAGATGTCATGTCGTCCAAAGAAAGGGAGAAAGTTTGGAAGCAAACAGAGGTCCTGCTCTGCAGAAATCCTTGGGGGATCCCTGTCTTGCACTACAAAAGAATCTCTACTCACTTTGGTAAACCTCTCCATTTAATGGGAAATATGAACGTGATATATACGGCCAACCCTGGCTGCCAAGGCTTAAGTTACCTCTCTTTCTTCACCACGTGTGTAAGAATCTGTCTTTGTGTGTGTGTGTTTTCTCAAGAGGAGGAGTACACTGACCCAATAACCATGGGACCTTGAAATGACTTCAAAACCAATCCATCTCCCAATTCATTTTCATACTGTAACCGTACCCTAAGTTGGGGGGGGAGAACCCACCAATACTACTGATCTTACCTTTGCACCCCCTTAGCTCACTGTTCTGCGCAACCAGCCACATTGCCCGCCGTTAAGTCTGGTCCCACCTTTTGATGCTAGCTGGTGGGCAACTTAACTGAGAAAGTGCCGGCAGTGCTCTTTTGTACCCTGGATGCTCCTGATGCAACTTGTAAAATGTACCACCTGTGCCCTGGTCAACTGATGCTGTACAGTTGGCTTAAAGTCTCAGTATAAATTTGGCACCATCCTGTGACTAGGGGTCATTTAGGATGGTAATTGTTAATGGGGTGCCAGTTCTGCCACAAAACTTACTGAAACCAGTATTCTCCATCAGAGAGAACGGCTGGTCACCCATGGCTATCATCTCCCCTAGGTATTTTTACATTTGTACAGTGGGGTCTCTACTTAAGAACTTAATCCGTATTGGAAGGTGGTTCTCAAGTTGAAAAGTTCTTATGTTGAATCTGCATTGTGACTAGGGGTCATTTAGGATGGTAATTGTTAATGGGGTGCCAGTTCTGCCACACTTACTGAAACCAGTATTCTCCATCAGAGAGAATGGCTGGTCACCCATGGCTATCATCTCTCGTAGGTATTTTTACATTTGTAGAAGGCCTTTTCCTCTACCCATCCAAGCTTCTCCAGGGTAGCCTGGAACTTATTCTTGAAATGTGGCTCTGACATTTGCTACCTCCCACCTCTTGTTATTTGCTCATCTTGGTTTCCCTGGATTGATGGCTCAACCTCTCCTTTTTCTCTACCCATCCAAGCTTCTCCAGGGTAGCCTGGAACTTATTCTTGAAATGTGGCTCTGACATTTGCTACCTCCCACCTCTTGTTATTTGCTCATCTTGGTTTCCCTGGATTGATGGCTCAACCTCTGCCCTCTGTTGACTCTTACCCTTCACAATAAGAAAGCCACTTGCTCCCACTGTACCCATTTGCCAGCAGCGATGCCCTGTGCTAAGTCTTCAGGTAGCTAAGCATGCTAATATTGGAGAGTTGTCCCAAGTCCTGCTGATGCTTGAACATCCTTGAACATCTTCTTGCAGTGCATGCACCCTGCCATGTAAGCCTCTGTTGCACATTGCTGAAAATGTTTTCAGATTATTGACTTCATGAGAGCGGCAGTTTTTGACTGCATATTTCTAGCAGGGATTGCTAACTTGTCATCACTACTAGTTCTGGAAACTGGTGGGCCAAGTGCAGCTGGAGGGGCAGGAGGGATTTCTGTGTCATATGCTTCTGAAATAGTGCCCACCTGAGTAACCTCAGTCTACTCCTCCCCCACACCAGAGGTATATGTACTTGAAGAGGAGTTCCCACCAACAACGATGCTGCTTTGCACAGGAGATATTTGTTGGGACTCGGGAAAAACTCTTCCTTAAATATGATGGATCTGCATGGTATGGATATGGAAGGCAATGTTGGTTGCTCTTCATACATCTCTTTCTTAACCACAAAAGCAGCAGCAGTGGGACAGTGTCAGCTTGAGTGTGGATGCTGTCTTTGCCCTTCTGGCACATCACTCCCAAAGAACCTCTTGCCCTGACTGGCTTGCACAAAGACATCACTAGAACATGTCTGAGGTTCACTCATATCTGTCCCACCTTAAACCAGAGGCTTCTCTGCCACGTCCTTGGCAGACACCCTGCCCCCCTGTACTGCTGGTCTTTCATAGTGTCAATGTAGAAGAAGGGTGACAGATTTTGTCTGGAGACTCATAACAGCTGGCGAAGGCTGTCCTTTCCCCCTCTCCCATTCCTCCCAGCAGAAGCTGCTGTAGTGGGTGCAGGCAGCTGTCCTGCAGCCTTCCCTAAGTGCCTACCACACCAACTTTTCATACTGCTTACAGACTCTGCCTAAAAACAGCACCTGATTCTGCTTACAGCAAGACAGAAACTCTTCCAATGAAAACCACACACAGAGACAGAAAAATCTACTAACTTAATACCTCTGTCTATATACAGCAAAATCGTATTCCCCTGCCTGATATGCCCCAGAAGGACCTAAACCTAATATTATTATTTCCCTGTTGATTTACAATGCATTAATCTATGACTCTACTAATCCTACATCTTATTCCTAACAATATTAAGGAAATAATATACAATGAGATGTAAAGAATGTAACTATAAATTGAAGGTTCAGAAAAGGACACAGAGAAAACTGCTACAGGGTAGGCTTGCACCAGAGCATATCCTAACAACAAATGCTCAGGGGATTTATAAGCAGCTATATGCATCTTTCATTACAAAAGAAACAATGTGAAAAAATACTGAGCTTCCTTCTAAATTCCATTGGTGTAGGCAGACATCGTTTACAAACTTTGCTCTGTCTGCAGCCCCTCCCTGGGGAAACACATGGTAACTCCAATCAGCAGGCACTGAGTTCTCTGCCCCCAGTACTCTTGATGCCAGAGGGTCTTGAAGTTTCATTTCTCACGAAATCACTCCAGGAAGCCTGAGAAACAGATTTCATTTTAGCTTCTTCCTCTAACAAGAAGAAACCTAGTCTTTTGCTTTCTAATGTATAGTAGCAAATGAGCCTCAAAATATTAGGAATTATTCTTATAGATATTTTGAATTACCAAATTCAAACTCAGATACACCGGTATTTAGAATTATCTGAAAATTACATGAATTGGTGAATTCCATATATTTCTGAATCCCCTATTGCACATGAACCTTTTCCTGTTGGGACAACTGTCCGGCCATCCCGACTTGTTATCAGAAGCTACAATTGACTCAAGACAACACTATTGTGATTGCTCTGAAAGGCAGCAAGTGAAAGAACTGCAAAATCACTGGAAGTATTGCTGATGCTTTCTTATAGGGAACCCAGTTAGCTTAGGAAGGATGTTGGAAGTCATCAGATTGGCTGTTGGCTTTTCCAATCCTCGTAACAACTTCAGTAGCTGTGCTGGTGCATCCGGTGCCAGCCCAAATCTGACCCAGCAACATATCATTCCAGTATCAGCCAGCCTTGAGTAAATGTCAGCGCAAGAAGTTTACTGGAAGAAACACCCCAACATGTTACACTTGCTCCCACTCTTTCTTCCGCAGTTCGACCCGTCTGATTTTTCCTGTGATTGTCTTTGGCAGCTGCTGGACAAACTCCATCTAGCAAAACGAGAAAGAAAATAATAGAGCTTGGTTATCTTGATTCGGGATGCAGCTCTGTGCATTGGCAGCTACTATCAGCCAATGTTGCAGTCAGAAGGATTGGCGCCTGCTCGGAAGGGCTGCAAAATTGTGTAGGCAAACGGAGGCCCCCATGACAATGTTATTATTGCTATCATTGCTGCTGCCATGTGCAGTCAACTCACTTCCAACTTATGGTGACCCTAATATGGCTTTCAAGGTTTGTGAGATGTTCACAAGTGGGTTTTCCATTGCCACTCTCCAGCTGGGTCGGTTAAGTGGGGGTTTGATCTCAGCTCTCCTAATTCTACCCAATGCATGTTGCTGGACTGGAGCACCCATCATTCCTCACCACTGGGTGTGCAGGTTAAGGCTGGTGGAAGTTGTAGTCCAACAACATCTGGAGACCGACACTTGGCTATCCACAGCATTAACACACTATCAATACAGACAGAGCTACAATATGTCCCCTCTTATTTTGAAGGCTACCCTGTATCTTCTCCATCTCAAAAGCACCCTGAGCATTTTTGGGTGTGTGTGTGTCTGTGGAGGGAGAGAGGAGAAAATATCATTCCTAGAACTAAATTAATTTTGATGCCTATTATTGTTATGCACAACAGCTGGAATTGTATAACTGATTTACACCTGTGTAAGGAGAATCGCACTCCCAGTAACTCGGATCAGCACCAGGCTAATGAGTGCCAATTTGTCATCCGGAGTTGTATGATTTCCCTTATGCAATTAAAAATCATAATCTCTGAACTGCAGAGCTGGAAGGGACACTATGGGTCATCCAGTCCAGCCCCTGTCAAGGTGCCAATGTGGGGAACTGAACTCCCAGCCTTGCCAGATACCTAAACCACCGAACTATTCAGCAATACGTTCTGACCAGTGATTTTTCCTGTAAACAAGTTTTAAGAAAGATGTTATATTATTTACTAATTGATATTAAGTGAGTATTTTCTATATATAGTGATTATAATTTTATCTATATGGTAAGTAAATAGAGCTAGTATGGTATAGTAGGTAGATTGACTAAAAAGGACTCAGGGGATCTGTGTTCAAATTCCTGCTTGTCTACGGAAACTCACAAGATGGTAGTGTTGACGCTAGTAAAACCACTCCTTAAATATCCACAGGATGGTAGTGTTGGCGCTAGTAAAACCACTCCTTAAATATCTCATACCTTGAAAACAGATTAGGGTTGTCATGAGTCGGATGTGACTTTGATGGCACATGACACACACAAATAATACAATTTTTGGATAACAATACCACACCCCACTGGACATCTCTCCAGTTCTCTGGCACCACTTGCCTTCCGTGGATATTTGTAGGGGGCCGTCACTTTCTTCACATGTTCTTGCAATTCAAGTGTTAATTTTTCCTTATGCTGTAATGTGTACGCAGGAGACAGAACCACAAATGCTTTCACCACCTAAAAGGCAGAGAGGGTGCAATAAGCAAAGATTTCTATAGATATTAGGGGTGGAAAGAACCCAAATGCACAGTTGCAAGATCTAGGAGCAATAATACCACGAGTGAGAAGTATCTTGGAACTGTTGTAGATAAAAAGTTGAATATGAGCCGATAGTGCGATGTGGCTGAAAAAAAAAAGGCCAATGCTATTTTAAGATAAAATATGAGCCAATAGTGCGATGTGGCTGGAAAAAAAAAGGCCAATGCTATTTTAAGATATATTAAAAGAAGTACAGTCTCCAAATCTCATGAGGTGCTAGTTTCCTTCTATTCAGCCCTGGTTAGGCCTCATCATGAGTACTGTATCCGGTTCTGGACACCACACGATTAGGGTTGTCATCAGTCGGATGTGACTTCAAGAAGGATGCTGACAAATTGTAACAAGTTTGGAGGAGGGTGATAAGGATGGTCAGGGGGCTGGAAACCTAGCCTAAGGATGATCAGGGGGTGGAAACCAAGCCTTATGAGGAAAGGCTGAAAAATTTGGGCATGTTTGGCCTTGAGAAAAGAAGACTTGATGGGTGATATGATAGCATTTTTCAACTATTTGAAAGGCTGTCATACAGAGGAGGGGCAAGATCTGTTCTCGATCATCCCAGACTGCAGGACTCACAACAAGTTAAAGGAAGCCAGATTTCGGTTGAATATCAGGAAAAACTTCCTAACTGTTAGAGCAGTACAACATTGGAACCAATGACTTCAAGAGGTGGTAGCCACTCCAATGCTGGAGGCATTCAAGAGAAAAATCGGACAGCCCTCTGTCAGATCTGCTTTGATTTGGATGCCTGTATCAAGCAAGGCTGGTTGGATTTGATGGCCTTACAGGCCCCTCCCAACTAAATCATTCCATGAATCTATGTCTGCTTACGTAGAAGCCACACATTATTTCACTGTTAAAATACACTAAGATGAAAGCAGCATTTTGGGGAAAAAAATCACCAGTACTCCACTCAAAGCCGTAACTACCAATGTTGGCACCTGGGACAAGAAACATCACCTCCTGCCCCCTCGGCTCTGAGGCTCCTCCCCTTCTTTTGGGGGGGGCACATCAGATGCCCCCAATGCCATAATCTCCTCCTCCTCCTCTTTGGACACGGGATTCTGAGCATGGGCATCACGTGAGGCAACCTTTACCATGTCTTGATAGGGAATGTGGACATGGTGCCTTCATGTTTTCTTTCTTAAAAAGCATAACCTTTTTGTTTCTTTTTTTGGGGGATGTTTGCCACAGTGGGACCGTGCTGAATGTGTCAGCAGTGCTTTGCTTTCTGTCTAAAGCAACAGACGAGTTCCAGCCACCCCTGTGGAGCCCTCCCCTGAAAGTCACTAGTTTTGGGAGATGTTGCCCTTAATTTTCCTGACGCTCTCCAGTTGTCCCACCTTTACTTTTGGCATCCTCTCAATTTCTGCACCACAAGACAAAGCCCCAGATGCTCTAGTTCCAGCTTGCCCTGCTTCTCTCCGGGTTTGCCTGAGACATAATGGCCCACAACCTACGAGATTCATGGCTGAGTGAGAATTAGAACCTTGACTTCCAATTCACCCCTAACCAGTACACCATATTGTCTCTTATTATTTCAATTACCTCTCCCCTAAGTGGGTCTGGGCTGCTAACCGCAGCTGCTTCTGCCACTGCTGGATGCTCTAGAAGCGCACTTTCTACCTCAAATGGTCCAATTCGATACCTACGGAAAGGAAACCAATAATCACACAGAGTTCTTCTCAAGCCTGTCTGAAGCTGGGAAGGACTCAATATAGAATCTTCTCCATGTTCGTTATTTGGCTTACCACAAAGCCATGACTTTTCCATGCATGACAAAAGGTTTTCAGCAGTGGGAAGCAATGGAATATGTCACCTTGACAACTTCAGCTGATTCCACATTTTAGCATATTTAGCTTATAAACAGCATTATATTTGAATATTCTTTTTTTCTCATATTGTTCAGTGTAGGACCAGTTGGGTTTTCATGGAAGGGCTGTTCAAGAAGGAGCGTTTGTTTTCCTTGAAATTTGCAGCTCTTTACTGGTGTTGCTGGTATTTTCCCCACCATCCATATGACGCTCCTCTTATCTTGTGCCACAGAGTAATTTTTCCCCATCAGTCACCTCCTTTCAATGTCTCTTGAAGCACATCTTATTTCTAAAATGCTTTCTACTGGGGACAGAGTTTAGCACCTTCCATTGTTAGGTGACATGCATGGTGAACTCATCAAGTCGGAAACTTTGATTATTACTCAATTAGCACTCCAAAAAAGGAAAGGAAAGAGAAAGGCTTCATCAAAGGATCTCCAGCAGAGATATGGAATTCTTAGATTTTTTTAAAAAAATCTTAAAGATCAGAGGGGTTGATTTTTAAAAATTTGGACACAAATCCTGAAAACCCTGGTTCTTTTTCTGTCAAATGACAGAAAAAGATGTAGGACAAATGATCTATCTGAAAAAGCTCAAGGTTACTGCTGGTTATTCCCACTTTTTTATTTTATTTTAATGGATTTATTTTGTATTTGTATGTCACATAGCAATAAATCCCTTCTCCCCAGTTTTGCTTTGATCCATTTGCCTTAGCTGCAAACTTGGGATCACGCTTGCATTGGGCAAATAAAAGTGCATTTTAAAAATTAGGGGACAAAGAACCAACCCTGCAGAATTGATGATATCATCAGCTCTTCCAACAAACCAGATGTATCCGTCTTCATCCATTAGTCCTCTGTCTCCAGTAACATGAAAATCCCCTCGTATTGTTTCGACTGTTTTTTCTGGATTATCCTAAAGAACACATTCCAGAAAGGTTGAATTAGCAGCAGGCATTACGAGGGCTGGTCTTTCCGTTAGGCAGAGGGAGGCAGGACAGCAGAGTTTTTGTGTCATGATGAAACGCCAGCCAATGGTCAATTATTTGTTATAATAGCGTGCTTTTAAAATTGCCTTCTATGCCAAAAGAATTTGGCTGGCTTTAGTTCCTTTGGCATCAATGAATAGGAGGCAGTCATTTGCTACTTTGCCTCAGGTAGCAGAATATCTTGGCCCAACTCTGTATATAACTGCCAATTCAGTTATAATCCATTAATGGCCCAGCCTTATGACAGTACATCAGGGATGAGATGTTTTTTTGGATTACAACAATCCTATAATTCTCAATTCTGGAAGTTCTGCCTGTCCAACAGATGGCACCTAAATGTGGCTCGCCTGGGAGGAAGACTTCAGCCGGGCCTGAATCCACCTCAACTTCTTTTTCCTGCCTCACTGCTAACTGGGAGCTTTCATTTAAAAAGTTAGGTGGATTTAGGCCCAGCTAAGCCTCAAAGCCTTCCGGCTGAGGGCTTTCTCCCAGGTGAGCCACATTTAGATGTCTCTTAGGTAGAACTCCCAGACCAGAATATTAGAGATTTGTAGTAAAAGAAAATATCCCAAATTAACAATATATAACCATACAAGAACACCCACTTCTTTCCTCTACAGAGGACAGGCTAGTAGATGACTTGAGGCAATCTTTTACTTGTATAGATTTTAAAAACCTACTACTTTTTTGTTCCTTTTTGATCTGTCCCAGTTTTGAAATACAATTTTGCTTCAGTGGATTTTCAGCCTCTTCCAGGGAGATTGATTTAAAGAATACAAATCTACAAGTTAATGATTTATTTTTAATTTTTGCAACTATAGCCAACCAGGCTATCAGAAGGATTGTACCTCCCTATATGTTGTTTCCCCCCCAATCTCTTAAGATCTTCAGCGGAGCCCTTTTTGGGGTTTTTGTTTTAGTGCCCTCATGAACATGTTTCATGGAGACATGAGAAAGGGCCGTCTGCTTTGGGTTTGTCGAAGGCTCTTCCTTGGGAAGTATGGCTGGACCCCTTACCTCTTGTCTTTTTGACGACAGTTAAAGATCTGCCTTTTTAAGCTGCGCTTTTGATAACTCAATTGGACAAAATGGAATCTTTGTTGGATTCTGTGCATGCATTCTTTTTAAAGTGTGCTTTTTTAAAGTTTTTAAATATTTAGCTGACTGTTTTTAATCACTATTATATGTTTAATGGGTGTTTCACTTTTTAATTGATTTGTAGTGCAGCGTGTTTTAACAAATCGTTAGCTGCCTTGGGCCCCTTCACTGGCATAGAAATGAAAAACAAACAAATAAATGATGAAAATTGGATGGCTATTTTGGTATTCATTGCTAGTTCTGAATTTAAAAAAATATACAATGTGTTTAAACCAGTGTGTGATTCTAGGATACCACTTTATGCCAATAACATCACCTTCATAGAAGCACAGATCTGGATTGGATATTATATCTCATTTATTCCATGGTCTGCTCAGTGCTAGAAATCCAGAGCTAGAATCTATCAAACAGACACCTCCGCAGTTTGCGAATCCACATCTTTGGTTGCAATATTGAAATGCTTTCACTGCTAAGATGCTTCTCCTAATATTCATATCTCCTGTAGCTTTGACCTTAGATTCATCATGACTAGCATTCTTGTTGGGCCTTGATGGAAGAAGAACATCTTAACACCTCCCTCTCTGAGTGGACCAGATCTTTCTAGCTACTCTTTCTCTTGCCCTTTCCACTTGCCACTTCCCCAGGTGCATTCATTTCAGCAGCAGCTTCTGGGCATTTGTTTTTCATTCTGGATTGCATGGCCATTGGCATTACTATTGAGGCAGTGCTTGTGTTAGGAAAAAAGGCTTATAAAAACATAAGCATCAGTTTTGGTGGGGAAACCTATATGAGACCAACAAGTTATTTATGTTTCTTGATGCCTGTCTGAGCTCTGGGGAAATTTTTCAAGGGAAATCTCTGGGGATTCATTCATCCCTCAGAAGTAGAGTATCTCTTTATGCATCACTTAGGTATCATTGATGTTCTTACCACATAGCGAGAAAAGAGACCAAGTGGCCTATTCGGCTTCACTCTGATGGCGATTTCTCCTTCTTTCCCACGAGGCAGAATGTTGGCTTCTTCATCTACAATCTGGAAGAAGAGGACATGAGAATAAAAGAACATGAAAGTCATGCTGGATGAGACCAAAAGCACATCTAGGCAAACATTCTCTTATTGATTGATTGATTGATTGATTGATTGATTGATTGATTGATTGATTGATTGTTTGTTTGTTTGTTTGTTTGTTTGTTTGTTTGATTGATTGATTTGATTCGATTCGATTTGATTTGATTTCTACCCTGCCTTTCTAGACAGAGTCTACTTGGGGCGGCTTACAAACAACAATAAAACATCATAAAAATACAATCAAATATAATCATCATTGTAATTATCAAAATATGTATAAAATCTTCGCACAGTGTTCAGTCAGAGGCATATGGAAAACTCAAAAGGATAGGGTCCTAAATCTAACGGTTTGTCCCACCTGCAGCAGATGCTTTTAGTAAGTTTACAAGTGAAACATCAACGCTTATTTAAGCCCAACTGATTTAGTTGGGTCTACCCAAGGCGAGATTGGATGAGGAAAGTCAGTATCTGGACAAGGCAGTCCTGAAGATGTTGGTGCATGTGCTGGTGATCTCAAGGACTGACTACTGCAATGTTCTCTGTGTGGGGCTTCCCTTGAAACTACCCCAGGAATTCCAACAGGTACAGAAATGCAGCAGCCAGACTGGCGTCAAATGAGAAGACGTACGAACGAGCACATTTCTCCAGTTCTGGCCAACCTCCACTGGTTGCCTATGTTGTTCTGGGCCAGATTCAAGCTGCTTAGCCCTTCATGCTTTGGGACCTCTGTACATTTCAGAGTGTCTTTCCCTAAAAATGTCCACCTTCACCACCTGTTCCTCACACGCGATGCTTCCTGGGAGGCCAGGAAGTCATCATCCAGAAACCGGGCCTTCCCAGTTGCGGCCGTATCCCTTTGGAGTGGGCTCCCGGTGGCCTCTTCCCTAACTGCCTTTCCGAGGACGCTCAAGACGAGGCTGTTTACGAAGATTTGGAGAGCATCTTCTCTTAACCGAATGCGATGGACTAGTTTTAGATTACCCATTTGCCATTGTCTGGTTTTCATTGGTTTAGCTGATTATATGTTGTGTTTGTTTTCACGATATTTATGATTTGTTTTACTGTTTACTCAATTCAACTCTGGATGCAAACCATCCAGGGGGGTAGTGCAGATCACTGGTCAGTGCAGTACACAATCTATCTATCTATCTATCTATCTATGATGCAAACCATCCAGGGGAGTAGTGCAGATCACTAGTAAGTGCAGTACACAATCTCTCTCTCTCTCTCTCTCT